ATCACTGCAACTAGCAGCTTAAGATGCAATCTAGTTATGTCACCCCCAGTTAGTTCCCTTATATTCCTGTAACATCCAAGATTCTTGTAGTATAGAAGACCCTTTTATGAAATGGGCCCAACTTTCAATGCTGTATGTTGTACCATTCCCCCCAACATGTTCCAGCTATATTCAATTTACAGGTTATTTTAAACTGGTTGGACCTCCCTCTTCTGCAGCTAGTTAATTCTTATTTTTGTCATTTAACTTATCTGAGGACTCTGTCCTGCAGGATCTCTCAATGTGAGAGTAACTGACTCCTCTTGTTCTCTTAATACCTTGTCCTTACTTTTGCTGTAACATTAATCACATTTTATTGTGGGACTCTGAATTTTTATCTGAATTCTTTTCATATTCCCAGAATTTAGTGCAGTGTTATGAATGTTTAGTAAATAATACCTGTGAGTAGGTCCTGTGCTGTATTTCCAGGCTAAGGTTTACTTTGTAGCACTTGCTTAAGTGTGAGTGTGAAAGGAAAAGGAGGATGGAATGATATTGTATTTAAGAGGGAATCTGTGAAATCACTGAAGTTGCTTTCAAAGTTATGGGGATTCTGCACATGTTTGTAGACTGAAATAAAGGGGACAGTAGGGTGGGGAGGAGAGAGAGAAATGACTGAAGATGTAGGAAAGGGTGTAAAATAAGGTCACTCGGAAAGGTAGGAAGGTTTCACCAAGAACAATTCTTTAATTTTCAGAGATCTATTAATTTTTATTTGATTTTTTAAAAAGATTTATTTTTATTTATTTATACAAGCACTGGGTACAGTCAGAAGCGCAGGAGGGTGAGAGAATTCACCAGAGCCAGAGCGTGGAGCAGAGCAGGCAGAAGAACCGAGGTACACTGCTGAGGGGAGCGGGCGGCAGGAGAGGTCTGCAAGACCTGTGGGACCCTCACACGGTGGCCGGGAGCAGCCGGGGATCGAACCGGTGCTGCAGAGGCTGGCGGGCAGCTTCGCAACCCAGCGCTCACCCGCTGCGCCACCGGGGAGGCCCAGAGATCTGTTAATTTTTAGAGATCTAATATTATTAGATCTATGAGGCCTGAATTCAATTATCTCAAAACATTTTTTCAAAGAAGGCATTTATTATATGGTTTTGCTTATTTAACAGAAACTTTAACCTTCCCTGGGCCTGGGAGAGACATGGATAAGAAGTTTACTTGGTGGGCCTCCCCAGTGGCGCAGAGGTTGAGCGCTGGGTTGTGAAGCTGCCCGCAGTCTCTGCATTTCCCAGTTCAATCCCCGGCCACCGGGAGAGGGTCCCACATGGCGCGCAGACCTTTCCTGCCGCCCGCTGCTCCCCTCAGCAGTGTACTGCGTGAGTCTGCCTACTCTGCTCTCCCCTCTGACTCGGGTGAATTCTCTCACCCTCCCATGCTTCTGACTATACCCAGTGCTTGTATAAATAAAATAAATAAATCTTAAAAAAAAAAAAGACGTTTACTTGGTAGAATAAAGGATTAAAATTTACTAACAAAAATTTAGAGGTGTAACACAATCAATGTTACTGGAATGGTGGATATGTTTTCAAAGTATTTGCCCAGGTTATGATGACATTTTAGAAAGGGTAGTATTATATGTATGTGTACACACACTAAATTGTTGTCTTTAATAATTTTGAATGTTGCATTCTGATTAATCAAATATTCTGATTTTAATAACTTTTATTTTTTTAAAGATTCATTTATTTATACATAGAAGAACTGGGGTACAGGCCAGAGGTGTGGGGGGTGAGAGGATTCACTAGAGAGAGTGGGGAACAGAATAGGTGGATTGACTGAAATACACTGCTGAGGGGAGCAGCAGGTGAGACAGGAGAGGTCTGCTGTGCCATGTGGGTAGCTCCCTGACCAGCCGGGGATTGAACTCATGCTGCAGAGGCTGTGGATAACTTCACAGTGCTGTGCTTAACCCCTTGTGCCACCAGGGAGGCCCTTAATAACTATTTTTTTAATTTTATTTTTAAGATTTATTTATTTATGCATGCAAGAGCTGGGGTACAGGCCAGAGGTGTGGGGTGTGAGAGGATTCACCAGAGACAGAGTGAGGAATAGAACAGGCGGATGGACTGAAGTACTCTGCTGAGGGGAGCAGCAGGCAAGTCAGGAGAGGTCTGCTGCACCATGTGGGTTGCTCCCTGACCGGCCCGGGATCGAACTTGTGCTGCAGAGGTTGTGGATAGCTTCACAGTTTGCACTTAACCCCTTGCGCCACCAGGGAGGCCCATAACTATTTTATATGAAACCTGAATTATTAATTAAAAAATGCATAGGTGTTAGAATAGCTTATGTTAAATCTACATAGTATTAGTAAGGAGTTTAGGGTCTCAGTCATTACTGTGGACTCCCACAAAGTATGGAGAGACAGTTGCTCTGCATAAAGTATTCTTTGGCTAGAACACAGAGGGAAAGAGATGTCTGAGAGGAACTCCTACCTTTTAGAAGATTTACAGATGATAATAGAGTTCCAATTAACCAAAAGTATGTGATTTTTTCTTAAAGTTAATGTTACACATAATTTACGTTCTATTTTTCATTCTGATAAAACTCTTTTGTATCTTCATTTCATTTCTGTTTTAATATTTCCTAATTATCAAAACTATCTGTGCTTCATAAATAGACTATAGTGCCTAGGCAGGATGCTTTGCCATAGCAACATTCATCATGTATTTATGGAACTGAAATGAACATCTTTTCCATTTTTAACTCCTGTGTTTTGGCAGTTGGCCAAATAGAAAAGTCAAACACACATTTAGAGGAGAGTACTGCTGAGTAAAGCAGGGAAAGAATCTCTTTCAAAAACCTAAAGTTTATTACATAAATTATGTACCGTTTAGCTATCTTCCATGTTCATTTACACAGTTGGTCATTGAAACTGCTTTAGAAATATTTAGCATATTTTTAAAGCTTAATAACATTCCTAGTAAGTGGAGGCAGGGTTATGTATTTATTTACTACTAACACATATGAATAGCAGATAACCTGACTATAGTTTGTCGTTAACTGAATAATTCCAATGGAAATGTTTTCTCTCACTGTGTTCATATTGTTCTGGTACATGAGTTTGGAAAGCAGCAGATCGTATCCATGATCATAGATTTTAAATATTTACTTGCTGGTGCTGCATAATTTAGCACAGTAGAGTTGGAAAGCAGTTTGTATGGTAGCTGATGCCATGTCAGTATTACAGAACATAATTTCCCTTGATGATGTCTATGTGGAGTTGTAAAAATGGAATGCATTCTGCTCTGTTTTACTAGTCAATTAAAAATTGTTTTATTGTAAATTCACAGAAAACCAGTGTTTGTGCTACACACACAATTTTAATTTAAGAATCTAAGCTTTGTTTCTCATGTCCTATTAATGCACAACATCAAAAATAAAATGTCCTTTTGGAATAAACATCCTTTTCCAAAAAGGCATCCAGACAGCTTGTTGAATGTATGTTATCTGTCTTAAGATATAAAATCAAACTTCTGGGGCCTCCCTAGTGGTTCAAGGGCTTAAGATGCAAGCTATGAAGCTATGCACAGCCACTGCAGCAAGAGTTTGATCCCCGGCCAGGGAGCTACCCACATGGCGCAGTAGACCTCTCCTGACTTGCCCACTGCTCCTCTCAGCAGTGTATTTCAGTCAATCCACCTGTCCTGTTCCTCCCTCTGTCTCTGCTGAAGTCTCTCACCTCCCCATACCCCTGGCCTGTGCCCCGGTTCTTGTATGCATAAATAAACAAATCTTAAAAAAAAAAAATCAAACTTCTGTATTTCAGAATGTGGCAAAATAATGTTAATTTTTTTTTTTTTTTGCTCACTCCAATAAATGCTGCATCTGTGATCTTACTATACACTTTGTGTGATTGGTTATTTGGCAGCCCAGCCATGAAATAAAAAGACAATAGTTTGTTATTTTTTTTGTGTGTGACAATAAAAGATAATTCAAACCACTGAGCACATTAAGAAATTGTGAAAGAGTTTCAAGTTTAATTTTGAACTTTTCAACTATGCTTTCTAAAAGCTTTCCTTTCCCACACAGTTTCATAGTCCTATAGTACAGACTGCTAATTTTTTACTTTAAACATTTACTAAAATTCAGGAGCATTTCTGGCAGTCCTTTTTCCAACGCAATTTTGCAGTATTACAAAATGACACAGGATTACATTTTGCTATAACTTAGCATATCTCTCAACACCCCGTAGGAGTAAGGATAAAAAGTTCATTTCATAAAAAAGTTCGAGTTCTGTCTTGTGTTTCAATCCTTGAAAATAATCTAAATGTGGAAAATGAATACACACACTCCTTGATGCTTTGTAAGTACTAACATTCTGTAGTCCCAACTACACCTACATTTAGAGTAACCTCGACAACAGGATAGGAGGGAACACTGATATTTCAACCAAAGTGGAGCTTGGTAGGAAGGTCTACATCCCTGCAAAGGATTTAGGGTCCTCTGAAATCCCAACTGCAGAGTGTGTGTACAAACCAAATGAGGAATGAGAATGGCATTGCATGCTGGATCTTGTAGTTCCTGAGCTTGGGGACAGGGAGCATTTCATGGGCATGCTGGGAGTTGTAGTTCACATGCTCAACAGGAAGTCATGGTTGGCATAAGGAGGTTTGTCTAACAGAGATACCCCTTTATAGATGGACTTTCCCTTGGCTTCGCGCTTGCATATCGGCGAGTTCACCAGCTGGGTTGGCGAACAGGTGAGAAAAAGGAAGGAAGTAACCGGAGCAGGCGCCTGTAAGGGGTACAATGCTGCAGCCAATGAAAGGCTTCAGTGCCCCGGAAGTGGCTGCCTGAGTGCGTTTCAGGGGGATGTCATTCCTCTTACTACGGTGGCCGGGAGAGCTCAGTGCTGGGGCTGCGGTGCTGAGGTCGGAGTGTCTGCGTGTGTGCGGGCTGCTTTTGTGGCGGTTGCTGCTAGAGCTGGAACATTTCCCGGGTTGGTGGCTCCTGCACATCTTTTACCCTACTCCAGCTCTGTTTCGGGGAAGGGTCAACTCGAGGCTAACGGAGTCAAGAGACGGTTGAGGCTTAGTGTCTCTGATCCCCCAAATGATCCTGTTTCTTGGGGTTTCCTGCCCTTAGAGGAGACCGTATGGTCAACTATTTGGCCTCTGTAAGGGTTTTAGCTTCTCCCTCTTTCCTTTCTTTTGACTTCTGACTCCTCGCCCGGTCCTGGGCTCCAGAGACGATAAACCGTAAGCCTTCCTGCGGGCAGCTGTATCCCCTCTCCTTGTGGCTTTTCTTAGGTGTTTCAGTGACGATCTCTTCTCCCTTAACCTGTCACATCCGTTTAATTCTTTCCCTGTTGCTCCCCGTTAGAAAGAAGAAAGCCCCCCAAGTCGGATCCCTGAGATCTGAGTCTTCTCATTCCTAACTCCATTCCTTGTTTTTGGCCTGTGTTAATGCTTATCTTTACAGACATTAACATTGTCCGGTCACTTTATTCGGTTTTCGCTTACCTTCAACTCCTCCACCTCCATCCGAATCTAAGAGTATATTAGGTTGGAGGTTTGAATACATTATTAAATGTGATGACTGTGAATACAGAGATCTCAGTGCTCAGCGTGACTGCATACTGAGTTTCTATTTCTTAAGATTTCTCTGGGTTACGTTTTTGTTTTGTAATACCCATTCTCCCACGAGGGAAAAATGCTACCCTATAAGTAGAGGAGAGTACCTCATCCTACCGTTCTTTGTATTCTATTTACTTAAGTTGTATTCTCCACCCCCCGCCCCCCTTATTCCTGCTCAGATCACATGTCCTTAGTGACATTTTTGCAATGATTTTAGTTCATAGTAGACAGACACAAGGAAATCTTCTTTCTTCCTTGTTTGGTTATGATTTGTAATTAGATTGTGAGTTGTTGAAATTACCAGAGGGATTGGAAAGGCTTTGAAATGTGAAATTTACATGTGTTCCAATTTGCAAAGTAACAAAGCTTCCCTGAACAAGGAAGAGTTTTTAATTAATCCAATAATCTTATGCTATATTGAATTAATTATCAGTTCATTCCCTGTAAAATTTTGGCAACTGTTTAAAGAGTGGCCAATGCAAGAGATTGTGTACTTCAGTAAAAAAGAATTTGAAACCATTTAACAGGTATTCTTTTGTGTAGACAAATATATTGAAAATTTGTTTTACTTGTTTATAAGGTACTTCTATATATTTCGATAGATCTGGTAAAAACAGCATTGTATAGTATTCACAATGTTTCATAGACAGAAATTTTGTGCTTACAGATTCTTGGAGACCATGTAACTTAAGTTTGCAGCTTCTATTCTGACTGTTGTACTATAGAGATTCTAACAGTAAAATTAGCATACTTATAACCAATCAAATATAATCTATAGATGTCAGTAAAATAATAGCTACTTGGGGATTATTCCTAATTAATCTGAAATGGTTTCAGTCATGCTTAAGGTTTGGGGCGAAATGTATGATGTTTCAGAATTCAGTCGTGGACTTCTTTACATTTATCATGGATAAATAATAAAAGGTTAGACATTACTGAAATGCTTTATATTTTTCCTGAGATTTTATTCATTCATTAGGCATTTATTGAAAACTTATTATTGTCCAAAGAAAGGGGGATGGGGCAGGTAGATAATCAATTACCGGTAGGTAACTGGATTGCTTTATATCTTCAATTTCTTGCACATACTAAGTGTACAGTGTTGGTTGAATTTGAAACTAATATTTAAATGAATGGAGTTATGACTTGGGAGTAGGGTGGTGACCAAAGGGGAAGGAGGTCTAGATTACCAGGTTTGATTGCAGTGGTCCAGGTGGTATGTAGATTTACCTTTTTCATTAAATTCCAAGATGGATCAATATCTTACGAAGTACTATGAAAAAAAAAATACCATTTAGACAAAGATTGTCAACTGTAAGAGGTCTTCAATTTCAGAGTTAAAATATCAAGATGTGTGATTTAGAAATGATGAAATAGAGTACTCTTTATGATGGTTGGTGAACCTTATAACCACTTTATTTATTTTTGGACTATTAATTTATAACCTTTGACATGCATTCAGTAACTTAGCATTTATTTATTAACTAGACACTCTTCTAGGTCATAGAAATATAGTGGTGAATAAATATGTTTTCTACCCTCATCGAACTACTGTGTAACAGGGGAAGCAGACATAAATGAAATAGTCTATCAAAGAAACGTAAAGTTGCAGCTGGTTTTAGTGCTGTAAAAAAGGACCTTGATGTTATACAGAGGAAAAACTGATTACAGAAGGGACAAAAGTGTGGATGTAAAAGGCCAAATTAGAGATGATGATATCTTAGACAAGGTGGTAGTGAAAATAGAAGTGCGTGGATTTTAGATATGTTTAGGAAGTGAAAATGAGTGATAGATTGTGTGTGAGGAATGAGGGAGAGGAAGCTGCCATTGACCATCACAAGAATTTTGACTTATGTAACTGGATGGATTGTAGCACTTTCACTGAGAGAGAAAGCATTATAAAATGGCCAGGTTTGGGGGGAATGTAAGTCATTTGTTAATATTTTTTTTTTATTATGTCATCAGTAGCCAACATTAATTTCTGGTATTTTTTCTCTTTTATGTGATTGTTTCATTTATGTATATTTGAGGAACACTATACCTGAAATAAGTTTTTCAATATTTTTTTCTTTAGTGAGCAGGGATGATATTCTAGATGAAAACATTTGGAAATATGTTAAGATTTATTTAGTATTTCTATATAACATTCAATCACTTTTATGAATTATAATATAGTTATGTATCATCCTTATTTTTGCTTAAGTTTTGGAAGCAAATTGGGCATTTCATTCACTTGATGTATAGATAATATAAAAATGTACTAGTGAAAAAAGTCATGCTTTTGATAGCTTTGAAATGTCTCCTTTGTGTAAATTTTGATAGATGTTGAATCAATATAACCAGTTTATTGTTTAAATTATACATTTCATAGTAAACAGTAGCATGTAGACTTAGCATAAGGAGCATGGGCTTGGATCAGGCTGCCTGGATTCAAGGTGTGTTTGCTATTTACTTGTAAAACTTAGTAATCACTTCTAACTTTTGTTTTTGTGTCTATAAATGTGGGTAATAGCAGTGCCTTATAAAATTGTGAGGATTGAATGAGATCTGATATGTGCTTATTAACAAAATTTCTGGCACAGAGTGTGGGTTTGCTATTACTATAATGATATGGAACTGAAATCATCTGCATTTCTGTAACATTTTAATTTTATAGTTCCTTATGATTAATAAATCTCAACTGGAGAAAAATTTGGTAGTCACACTTGGATTTGAAGAAATCCAAATCATATTGTATGAAGTAATTTTGCTTATTCACTATTATCTGAGATAAGTCAGCACATGTTATTTTTCACAAAATTCTCCTCAGAGACTATGTTCAGTCTATAGCTATAAAGGAAATTAATGGTAGATTGGTTTGTAATTACTTTTCTTTATTTTTTAGTCAAACTTCTCTAAACTTTTACTTGCTTTTAGTTAGCATGCTTTCTTTTATCTAGAATAGTCCTTTCCTTTTCATTTTCTCCCTCCCTTCCTCTGTTTTTTCCCTTTGTTTTTTAAGTCTAGGCCAATTGTTTTGTAGATTGTTTCGCAAAAGAATTTTATCTGATTTGTTTAATTATAGTTGGTTACAGGTTAAATAGTGTTTTCAAGACATTACACAGGAGACTGAACTTTCCATTTCATCATACCAGGAATGATATAATGATAGGATATCCCATTACTGATAATATCAATCACTTAATTTAGCCAGATTTCTGTATTCTAAAAGTATCTTTATTCTTTTGTACATAATCTGTGGGGGTAATATCTTGAAATCACTGGATATCCTGTTTTCCAACTTTTTTTTTTTTTCCTATTCAGTGTTTTTAGGAGCCGTTGATGATCCCCGCGTGAATGAATCATTTTATTGGTGGTTGCCAAATAGTGGTTTTCCAATTCTCTAAATCCTTCTATATATGTCTGTTAACTGTCTCTCTAAAGAAGAATTATTCTTCCTCTATTCTTTTTAGTATCACTGTGTACACAAAGATTTAAAAAAAAAAAACAAAACAAAACACAACATATCCAGTGTGTTATAATCTGTCGCCATTATTCTTTTGGTGATTAAATTAAATTCACACCTTTGGCCAGTCTCTTCAAGCTGGTTCTTACCACCTTGTATATGTCCACATTGGTATTTGGGCCCATTCTTACTTTCTGTAGAGTAAAATGTTCCAGGCTCACCTAATATATTCTCTGCATAAGTCCTGGAATCAGCCATTGGATTACAAATGAGTCCTGGTTTATTTTCATGAGAAATAGTACTTAGAAACCAAGATTTGGGAATTGAATATGTATATTATTATTGCGATATTATTCTTTACAGTCTCTTTAAATGGGTACACACACACACACTTTTTTTTTTAAGAAATCATGGTTTCATATGATACCTTCAAGTTCAAAACCATACAATTCATTTTCACCTTTTCTCAATTCATATTTATATTTCCTTTTTACAACAGGGAGAATTCTGATTTTCAAACACATCAATTTGTGGTAGAAATTATATTTACTCACACATAAGTAGGAACACACGTAAAATCGTTTCAAAATTACTATATTGATATTCCCTGTCTGACAACATGTATACCTAGGAAAGATTTCTTTGCTATTTCATGTCCTTCAAATATATCTTACTAAAGATGTATAGTCAAAGTAGGTATTCAAAGTTACTGGAATATTTTTTTCTGTGTGATTTTGTAATTAATATAAAATACAGTTAAGTTTCTACTAAACTACTTTTTATTAGACTCTGTAAAACTATTAAAGTAGACATAATAATATAAAGTTTTTTTTTAAAGGCATTTATTTGCATCTAGAGGCTTATGGGACTATGTATTTTTGCAATCTTTCATTTATTTATTTATTTATTTTTAAAGATTTATTTTTTATTTATGCAATAGCTAGGGTACCGGCCAGCGGTGCAAGAGGGTGAGAGGATTCACCAGAGACAGAGTGGGGAGCAGAACAGGCAGACAGACCGAAAGCACTGCTGAGGGGAGCAGCGGGAGAGACAGGAGAGGTCTGCTGTGCCATGTGGGAACCTCCCTGGCTGGCTGGGAATCAAATCCATGCTGCAGAGGCTGTGTACAGCCTCACAGTGCTGTGCTCAACCCGCTGCACCACTGGGGAGGGCCTAC